GGGGTTAGCCCCATTTCAGGCAAGGGTAACAAGGGCCCTCTCTGCCCTGTGGGGGTGGGGCCCCGTTGCCATGGACACCGACAAGTCCACTGACAGGAACACGTAGAGCAGGGTTAAAAATGGGAGGGGAGGCCCAGGAGTCACTGGGGTTGGCTCGTCATGTGATGGCCAGGAGGTCGGGCTCCTTATTTACTTTTTTAAAAAATGGTCTACACGTTTGCTCCCTCGCCTGGACCTATGGGCTAATGCAGTGGATGCAGCGTACGAGAAACTATATATTACTAATAGAAATCCACAAGTCAAGCAGCCTGTATTTGTCTCCATTTCTTGATTCACTCAAGGACTCAACGTGGGACATGTGCTCAGCAGCCAACCACACCGACTCTGTCCGCTGAGGTCCAGAATGACTGAACTCAGGTTTGAGCTGTTCTTTTTTTTCCCCAGATTTAAGAAGGGGGACGGTCAAGAGAAATCAGGTAAAACAATGGGACTTATACGCAATTTTGGCAAAAACTGTTACACTTTAAAAAAAAAAACAGGCTGGGGCCCACACTGACCTCATGACCCACAAGACTTCAAAACCACTTGAATGAAAAGTTCTGAAAAACAAAAACTACACATTTGCTGTAATAATTGTTTGCTTTCATAAAAATATAATGCTTTTTATAAAATAAATAAATTAAAAATAACTTTTCACTATTAAATTAATTTTCAAAACTTGAGACAAAACCTTACGTGTTTCACTRTTTGACTTCTTTTTGCACACGGACACACACACATTAAGACCACCCCTTTTTAGCCATGCTCTCTTTTTTTTTCAGATGTATGACACATACATACACGTGAGGACTGTGGAAAAATGTGGTTTCAAAAAAATATTTTAAAGCAGATACACCAGCAAGAATCTGATGAATGCTAGTCTTCCCAGTGAAAAGTGTACACATTTTCCATAGAACAATTGTGCACACACGAGCAGAAGAATGAGTGGGTGTTGCCTTTGACTTAAACACACGATCAAAACACTCTCAGCAAAAGTGAAATCTAAATGTCAAACTAGCAAGTGAATTACAGCTAAATTAATATGAACACAAACAACTGATAAACCTCTAAACAGACTGTTTTTCAGCACTTCTCAAGGATGATATTTACAGAATGCAATGAGTTTTGGTTTTGTTTGGTCATGACTGTCAAAATAAGTTTACGGCAGAATTTTGTGTGTTTTTCTCGTAACGTGAAACTTTTGTGTGTCACTTCAGTAGAAAACAAAACCAAATATTAGTTTATTTAATTTATTCATTTCTTCATCAGTGACTTTTTTTAAGTGAAGAGAAAATAGAGACAGAGAAAAAGAGAGAGAAGTAATTAGAAAGATGGAAAGAATTGAAATAGCGATTAGAAGTAGATTAAATATACACCAACAAAACACAGGACCACACACCCAACATCTGTCCGCTCACCAGAAAAATAAATGGATAAATACATGGAGGGCATATATAAA